TCGGGACTCGGTGACCCGGAGCTCGGCAACTGTGTTGGGTGTCAGGGTATCCGGAGCATTGGAGATAGCATGTGTCAGTATTCTGCGTTTCATGGTTCATCTTTCGTGATTATGGAATCTTTCGTGATTATAGAATCGGGCATCAGGGACTCGGTATTCAGAACACTGTCGAGTCCCAGGTCACGAGCTCCGAGTCCCGAGTCCCGAAACCCAGGTCCCGAGTCCCGAAACCCGAGTCCCGAGTCCCGAATTTCGGAGTTCGGGGTTCGGTGACCCGGAGCTCGGCAACTGTGTTGGGTGTCAGGGTATCCGGAGCATTGGAGATCGCATGTGTCAGCCAAACATGAACCATGAAACGCAAAATACTGACACATGCTATCTCCAATGCTCCGGATACCCTGACACCCAACACAGTTGCCGAGCTCCGGGTCGCCGAACCCCGAACTCCGAAATTCGGGACTCGGGACCTGGGCTTCCGGGACTCGGGTGCAAGATTTTTGAATGCATAGAATATTTTACATCTTGTATACAATGAACACTGAATGGGACTACACTCCTTTGCCTTTCCTCAATTTCTCTAACATGTCAGTGTACATCTTCACCTCTGCCATCTTGGCTTTGATGCCCTCATCTTGCTCCTCCATCAATGCTTCCATGTGTTCTTTAATCCACCTCAGTCCCATAAGTGGTGGAGTCGAAGTGTTTCTCAACTTCTCTGGAAGAACCAAAGCATCATCCTCAACATTAAGCTAGAACAGATAAGTCATCAATCAAGGCAATTCAGCTAACATCTTACCGCCCAATACTGGTAGTGAGAGACGCAGGAAGCCATTATTTCATCCCACTGCCATGGTTGATCCGGGATTGTGGTGTTTCCCATCCACCATGGACATGTATATGCAAACACAATCCGGGACGGATGTCCTGCAATTGCCTCATCATCAAATGAAAGGAGGTGGAATGAAAAGACGTCGTCCGGAACCGTGTTCCAGGTTAGCATGGGATACAACTTAAGGATATAAGCGACAGGGACCGGAAGAACCGACACGATATTCTGTGAAGCTGAGTACTGCAGGAGTGGTGTGACAAAAGTCTGCTCAAATTTTTAGCATTGACCAACAAAGTCATCAGGGCAGTGGTAACATACATTCATCTCCCATTGCAGCCCAGCTTTAAAATACTTTATCCGGTCAGAAGATAGACCATTGTTGGCAGCTTCCGTCTGATATTGAGAGATGCATGCACAGACCCGCGATCCAGCCATTGCCAATGTGCAGGAAATAGTTCCAAGGCTCAGCTTCAGGGGTCGGTAATGGCTTCCGGCATTCAGAGTGCCAGAAGTGGATGCAGGAGTTGCAGGCATGGCTAATACAGGACTATGGTGCTGGCAATGCAAGTGAAAGATGGTGAAGATGTGAAGATAAGAATCACTGATGGATGGATACGAAATTCAAACTCCGACATGGGCTGACCCGGACAATTCCCGGGCCTCAATTATGTATGTGGAAAAAGGGACTTCATGAGAAAACAATGTTCATTCATCTCCAGCCTCTATCAACACATTTTGTAGGTCTTGAAAAGCTGCCTGCGCATCCTGTGCGAGCAATGAATACATTCGCAATTGCCTTCCGGCATAGCATCCGTGACTCGGAAGGCGGTTCTCCAATGATTCCTGCATGTGGTCGCCCCATTGGGTTGCTTTCCACAAAAAGAACTTACATGTCCAATCCATCTCCAATTTGACCAATATCATTTCTTCCCTCCATCGATCTCGTAGTGCCTTTGCCCGCAGCCAATGGACTTGGTAAACTTGGCATGGGTCCAGTCAGGTAACCGTGGGATATGACATGCAAGCAGGAACTCACATTCCTCATTCCACGATTGATCGGGACCCCTGAGGTCGACTTCAACAGACCAAAACCAAGCCAAAGATTCATTTCGTTGACCTCGGGCATTTGGGTCACCCACTGCAGTGCTGATTTTGAGTTGCTCGCGAAGCAGGGGTTTGTATTTCTGAAGCTGGTCTTGCCCCGGCTCAAGTTTCATCATTTGCTTCCTGGTCTTTGTATATATGCTGGCATGGAGGGAGACTGCCTGCTGCACCGACGTCACCTGGGACCAAGCTCGAGTTTTCAGGGCCTGGGATTTGGCCTGCCGAACGGTTGTTCGGAACAGGATGGCCTTGTTGCAAAGGTAAATGCGGAGATTGTGAAGGGCATCATTGGCCTGCCCTTCACGAAGAGACATCTCCAGGGGAATCAGATCCTCTGCCATGCATCGTCTGCATCTATCAACACCCAGGTTTGATGGCAACGGGATTACAGTGAGCTCGGGAGAGTTTGTCCATGTATGAGATGTCTCTGTGAAATCCGCCGGGTCATCATCGAGATCATCTAGAATGTCTACGTTCAAGTCCTCAGGTTCATCATCTGCATCAAATCCCTCCCCGAGATGTGTTAGAGCAGACCGAGCAAATCCATCTATCTGGCCTTGGAGCCGATCGCGTTGACGGGCAATGTCTAATCTCTGTGTCTCAGTGGATCTTCTTCCGATCCTTCAGACCTCGATGAGCAATGCAATCTGAGCCTCTTCAATTGCTAACCCTGTTGATATCCACGTCGCCACAGATCTGCGAGAGGGTGCTGCATTGCGGGCGTTACCCTCCTCTAATAATCTAAGCTCGATCTCCTTTTTGCTTGGTGCTGAGTGCAATATTAATTCCGACCTCGATGGAGACAATGGAACTCAACGTACCCTTTTTTATATTGATCTCATATTCATCCATCGCCGCAGGATCATTCAATCTGCTTGACTGAGCTATCCTCTCCCTGGCTAACCATTCTGTCTTCAAATGTGAGGGTGCTGCTTCATCGAGTCTGTCGAATGCCTTTCCACTTTCCGAGATGCCATTCCTCGCCAGCTTGTATTTCCGGCATAGAGTCCTTTTCATGCGAATCATCTTGCAGAAATTGGAGTCATTCATCTGATAATCAAGGCATTCCTTTCGGTGGGGAGATGACATTCCCCGAGCAGCAGGGGAAATCAGATTGAGCCGTGCCCATAGCGTCTCCATGATCTCTCCATCGATCCGACCAATGCCTTCAATAAAGTTAGAAGCATGTCGGACATAGCAGCTGTCCTGATGGCCATGAATGTGCCACAACCTGTTACGGACTAGGATAGTTCGAGCTCTCCCTAGGCGGATTGCCTAATCTGATAGCGGGCTCGCTATTGGAGAGACGGGGATCTTCTCTCGAATGAGAGGTTCGGGGGTTCCACTTAAGGTAGCGTCGGCTTTCCTTAAGGTGCGGCTTAGACTGAGTGATTGGGATGATCACACAGAGGAAGTTCTGATGAAAACCTAGTAGAATCAAGTAGGGAATATACATGATTCTGTCTGCTCTATATACTGTCGTCCGTGTGCACAGACCAATACTACGTTCGGTAGGTAGCTGTAAGTGTGTCTATACAAGGGCATCTTATCTGATGCCATGTGGTCGATTATCTATACATGAGGCTTACCATGCCTCTCTTATCTGTCCTCAAGGCGTAGCATGCCTTTGAGTCTAACTGCGCATGCTGAGGCATGCGGCTTGTCTTCTGACCATGAGGCAGAGCTTCCTCATGATCCGGGTCGAGGATCATCAAGGTCCGTCCAGATGTTGCCTAGGCTGGTCTAGGTCATCTAACGGCATCCAGGCCATTCTAGGCATCTCTACGAGTCTCCGTTGAGTCGGTAAGTCTTCCAAGACGGTGCATATGGTGGGATAGGGGCTAAGGTCATGATGACCTCCGTAGGAGGGGTTCTCGGTTACATGTTATTGTAACACAACCCAATTCCGGGAATGATGGTTAGTTGTGGTGCCATGTCTAGAAATCGACTTCGATCCACCCGAACCCGAAAGTGTTTGTTGTATTGACAATTAATATCATAGAAGGTGACAGCCCTGGTGATGCCTTCCATGTTGTGCCGGGAAGCCTCGCAAAGGGCGTAGTCCATGTTCATTTGTCTGCAAGTGACCCATGGTTAACTCGTGAATGAGGAATGGTGGATGTGGCTTGCCTTTCGCCTTTCTGAAAATCCACCATGGAGTGAGGGACAAAGCAACCGTGTCTGGCACAGGCAACTCCCCCGATACCGGTGGACTCCAGCTTGTGCCGAGCAGCATTAGCTTGATTTACTGCCCGGTGGTTGTTGCAGCTTGATTTTTCCACCATGTCAGCAGCCTCTGCCAGATGCATTTTATACCTGTCCTTTCCTACCATGAATCCAAGCCCATCGGAAAGCCAAACTTCATCGAATGGCTTAATGGGATGCAGATGTTCGGCTTTGAAATTTCCATCCATCACAAATGACCGGGTGTATTTCCAGCTTGGATCGCTAGTATTATTATGGAGGCCACATTGGTTGAGAATAGGACTCACTCATCAAGCAATTCATCCTCTGACAACAGCACATTAATCCCTGGCTGAGGACACGCCGGGCAAAATAATGCGAGTTCTCCTGTGCTCGGGTTATCAGAACGATGGCCAAAGCCATGCCATTTCATTGTCTTCAACTGCCTCCACTGTCGAGCGACCCTCATGAGCTCTCTGTATCGGTCCTTGCAATGTGCTTTGTCAATATGATGTCCAGTAGATGAAGAGGGTAAGGCATTACCGGAACAAGGTGTGGAAACATGCTGGAGGTCATTCGCCGGAGCTTGCTGTAATAGTTCATCGCCGAGGTGCCGCATTCAAGGCTGTCCAGTAGAAAATCATTGAGCACTCTGAAGGTGAACACAGTCTTTGGCCTGTTGAAAGATGCAGGGAAAAATCTGTGTCGAAACATTTGAATGTCCGGACTCATGGCATTCGGACATTCACAACATCGAATCTCCAGGCGATGAACTCCGGACTTGTCTACAATGACCATGGTGTTTTCCTTTGGCTGGAACTCGGGTCCGGACACAAATGGCAGATCTTCAGGCTCGAGCAGGTCTTCAGGTTCATCTTCTTCAAACAAATTCCACCGATCAGTGACCTCCGGACATTGTTTGCCATCATGGCCAAGGTGTATAATGAGTCCCACATGAGCGAGACAACTCCGCTCAAAGAATCGCCCATTCCATTGACTGATCCAGTGGAAAGGATTGCTACGATGTTGACTCCTGCAACAGCCCGTGCAATAGAGTGGCTCGCCAAGACAATCTTGACATTTGTACACCCCATCCTGTTCGCAGATGATGCATCTCCTGTCTTCTGGTGGAGCTTCTCGATCAAGGAGGTGATGTAGATATGATTCCTGCCTTGGCAGCCATTGCCTGAGGTAGTCATTTTGACTCTGTATTTTTGAATGCTTAGCCATAGTTTAAATGACACTCCAACATTGTACATGAACTTGCCATGGTTTTTGGGAGTTGCAAAGGCTCAAAGGAGCCTTGGTCCTGCTCATAAGTATTGTCAGGAAAGTCTTCCCAAGGAGGTGGTGCCTCAACAGGCTGAATTGTTGGTGATTCTGGGGGAGAGTTAGGCATGGACCTGTAGGCATGTCGCCTCGTGCTTGCAAGTGGGACCTTGACCCAAGTCTTCCTACCTTTGCTGCCCCTTGCTTCCACCCTGTGAGATTTTTGCACTGGGGTGCATCTACCTATCTTCATCTTGTTTACTAATGTTGCAAGCAAGGCATCAGCTCAGGTGTAATGAATTGTTATTGCAATATGATGCTGTGCAGTCCTGTTGGCTCATTACAAATTCATTTCCATTAATGGATTCTTGTCAAATATGGGCCGATTAACAGATTATTAGGCTTTGCTCGAAGTTCAACTTCGCACAATTCATTAATACTTCTACCTTGCAAATCCTCAGCCCGTTCTGCATTCTGATTCACTATGGCAAGAACAGGTCATTCCACCAACATGACTTCCGGAAGACACAGGGCGCGTCAACCACAGTCTCAGAAGCTCACAGACAAGGAGATTTTGGAGTTGAAGAACTACCTTCCTGAGTGGACTGCCGCCAAAAGGAGTGAGAAGAGGGGGATTTTCACTGCCATAGCAAGGGCGGCCAGGTTGTTTGCTCCTAAGGTGGACCAAAAACAATGGAAAAAGAGGAAGCAGGTGATGCTCCTTTGTTGCGTTGAAAAACTAAATTTTCAACATCACATTTTTTCATCAAATCTTAGGTGTACAAGACTTGGTTGTTCAACAACAAGAAAAAGAAGGAAAGGAAGGACACCATCAAGTATGGGAGGAAATTGACGCCCAGGATGGTGGTCTACCAGCAGAAACGCGAAGAGGTGCTGAAGAGGATTGAGGACGAGTCGGGGGTAAAGCCCGGAGATCCTGGTATGTTCAAACATTATCAGGCGGCGGTGAAGAGAGTCATGGCTGAATTGGACGACGACGAGTTGGAGAAGGCGAAAGAAACAGCGGAAGAGTGGTCCAACAACT